AATACAGGAATCCCCGTGAAAAGCACGACAATCTCCGCCGCCGCCGCCGCCGCTGCGCGGCCACGGCGGCGTAACATTAATCTACGTCGCTGATGATAGGATATGACACGCCTCCGAGTGTACTAATGCTTCCTGCGGAGCTTTCAGGGGAAAAAATGGGGAGGGGGGAGGAGGTGAAAGAAGGAAAATTCGAAAAACTTTTCTGAAAATAGCCGGGACACGCTCGGCGACTCCGCGAACGCCATCGACTTGCGGGAGTTCGACGCGTTGCGTTTATTAATTAACCCTTTCGGTGTGCTTTACGCCCCGACGGTTCCGAGGGTTGTTCGGATTTTTCAAACTTTTCTGATTAAAAGTAAAGAAGAAAGTTTTCTCAATCTACTTCCCGAGAAATTGATACTTTGAATTCTTGACTAAAATGGGTTAAAGCTACACACGCGCCGAATTTCGTTACTGCAAATTCCACGACGAAAATTACTAGGCAATTCTCTCTGCGCGTTTACATCCGCTTTTTTGTTGGCTTATCTCATATCGTATAATTAAGTAATAGTGCAAATACGTTCGATTACATTATACTAGCATTGATTATTCAGTGGACATATTAATTATTTTTCTTTTCAATATTAAACGATTTACATGAATTAAATGTATAAGCGATTCAAAATTATACATAACAATATTAATTATCCCGATTATTAATATTAAACACTATCACTTCTTTAAGCAAAAGTGAAATATTCTAACTGCATAATATGGAATTGAATTTTAATGAAATAAAATAATTGCAGAAATTTAATAATGCAGCAAAATCTATTATTTCGCAATGAAATAGAATGCGCTTCCGTTTTCTAGATAGTAAAAACAAAAAGACGAATGTCAAATGATATAAATTTGCCTGAGCGCGAAATATATAAATTATTTTATATTACTTCGTTCTGTCGTCACTTTATTTCCAAAAATTTCCAATGTTTCAAAAAAATGCTTTGAATAAAATTATATCCATCTTATTATTAACAATATAAATGCATACAATGTTATAACGCGGATCCGTTCGTCGAGTACAAAGCTGCCCTTTCTAACTTCTGCTTTAAGAGTATATTAACTTTATACCTAATTAGAGGAGCCATGGGCGTTATCGAGTTAATATTCCCATTAGTTGCCCAATCTAGCATTAAAATCAACTTAACGCTCGCCATTTTTAAATGGTACTGAATGAAAAGCCGATAAATAGTCCGCTTTCGCACCATCTCGTCATACAAACAGCACCGATCAGCTTCGAAGAGTATCGGCGCTCATCGCTCGCTAATTCCCATCAAGCGCACCCCGTTGCCTCGCGCGGCCGTACTTCCGGCCGCCCCGAGGATCGACGCCGAACGCTTTCCTCGGTCCCGTTGACTCGCGTATCGCGGCAGAATGAATTAATCCCGATGGCTCTCGTCGGCCCCGCGCAATCGAAATCCCGACGTGTCCCCCTCGCGAGTCCCGTCCGCGAGCGACTCACCGTCTGACAGACGCATTTATCGGGAGACAGATGCGCGCGTTTCCAGCGGCGGGCATTCGCGGTCACCGAGGTGTGCGGAATACGCGCGTGTGGGCGTCGAACGCGACCGCGCCGCCGGAGGTAGGGGCTGGAGACTTACCGATGCGGTGATTGATAACCTTATCGATCATTGTGCCCTGAAGCTTGGACGCGTCCGCGCCGACGGATACCGGCGCGACGGGCTAAGGGCCGCTCCTCGTCCTTCGGGTGACGAGACGCACGACGGAGCGTAGCACGGGGCGGCTCGCCCTCATCGAGGGGGATGCTGCTCTCTCGACTGGAGCGGGAGGGAGTGTGGGAGGCGGCGGTAGTGGAGTATAAAAGACGTCCGCGGCAAAAACTGTGAAGCGCTCTGTAGAATTTTCAATAAGGCGGGGTCGGAAGAAGAAGATTAATGCAATGCCGCCGGGGGACCTTAGGAGACGACAGCGACATGACTGTCAAAAGAACATCCCTGGAGGCAGAGTCCATTCGCTCTCGTGCAGCAGCGGCAACCCTCTCCGTTTCCAACTCTCTCTCTCCCTCCCTCCCTCCCCCCCTCTCTCTCTCTCTCTCTTCCTCTTCTGTTCTTTCCCTTCCTCGTTGGTCTCCTCCTTCTGTCTTTCCTTCTGTCTTCTGGCTCTTCGCTTCTTCGCCAACCCCCTGCCTCCCTTCGCCCTCCCCTTTTCGCCCACTTAGCCGTTCTCTCTCGATCTCTCTTCACCTTCCCTCCGTCCTCTGGCCAGCCCTGTCCACCGATAATCGCCGTATACGAGCGCAGGTGCACCCGTGTCTTCGGGTCAACCAAGTGAAATAATTCGTCGGGAAAGTAAAAAAGAATCCGCGCGACGACGAGACGAGCACTGCTCGCCTCCAGCCCGGCCCAGCACGACTTCGATCAGGAGATTTCGGCGACCTCTTACGCGAATCTCAAAGCCGGAGTCAATCAGTAGGCGCGCCAGGGCCAAGTCAACCCTCCAACCTCTGGGGTGAATCCCGAGACAAACTGCGCTGTCTAGCCAGCAGCGTTCGATCAATCACGGCCGGGCCGTCTACGGCATTAAGCTTGACGTGCGTATTCATACACGCACGCACCCACATCGCACCGGGGAACACGCAACGAGCGCTGCCAAGTGGCCCGTGCTCGGCGATGCGGGAAAAAGATCGACTGGTACTCCCGGGTGAAATCGGGCCGAAAAGAAGACGAATATTGGTTCGCTATTATGGCCAGGCGTGATTCTTACTTGAACAATTTCCCCTCGAACGGGGAGGAAAGTCTCGGAGGCGCGAACCGCGCTACTCGCGTTTATAAATTTCACACGGAGATACCGATATGGTTGCCACATGTCTAATTAGGGTTGGCACAACCCCAATAAGTAGTAATATCTGGGACAGCTATATCTGGCGTGGTTGTCATACCCACATTAATACGATAAGTAGTGGAGACAACTATACGCGTTTTGTGCAGCAAACTTATGTTAGTGAATGTTGCAACACAAAACCATGTAGACGCCCCTGCTATTTATACGGCGTCATTTTAATTTTAGTTATTTTTTACTTAGCCGGTCTTTCCGCGCATTAGATTGCTTTGTGTTCAGTTGTGCAAGACTGAATTGGCTCTCGTTTAGGGAACAATAATGCGTCGTCGAATATAACCGGGCAGCTCGCGCGCGGGTAACATCCGTTATCGTGTCGGAGATATTTGGCGGCGGAATTTTTCTTAACGCCCCATCCAGAGCGTCGCGAACGCGATGAAACGTGACCCCCGGGCTGTCCGCATTTAACGAAGATTTATTTAAGCGCCGGCTATCACCCGCGCGCGAACACAATTACGGCGTAAATCTCGATTCAATGCGCGGCGCGCATTTTAATGTAATATACGTACGTTTCATTCGGGGGAGTGTTACATCGTGCCACGTCGCGCAAAGTACCCCGTAATACGCGGGGAGCAATCGCGTCCGTTTCAGCCCCCTGGTCGTAATTTTTGCTGTCGTTCGAAGACGCGCGGAATCATTGGGAACACGCTCCGTGTCCGCGGAGATCCGTCGCGAATCCCCTCGCGTCGAGGCGGCGGAGAGTTTGCCTACTAATTGTTGCTGCCCGATGCTTGCGCGTTAAGACCGAATCAGACTAGCAATTGCTGACTCGGATTGGATTGGGATCGTCGATTGGCGATTGTCTTCTAGCTAATGAGAGTCGATTAAATCGCCGGCTGCTTTGCTCTCATTGGCTAGGGGACAATCGTCAATCGCCAATCCCAATCGAATCCGCGTCAGCAATTGCTAGTCCGATTCGGCCTTTAAAGCCGCCACGGTTCCCGTCGATAAACACAGCCGCTTCAATAGCCCACGCTGCTGGGATCCTGCAGCATCCGACGGATGGTAGAAGCGGAGAACAGTGAGAGAAGAGCCCGGAGCCTTTGGTACGAGCGCCAACTGCAGGTCGAATTATACGGATGAGTAGCATTTTTTTTCGATCGGCACAGTCGCGCGCGAGACGGAAGGGAAGAACTGTATTTCGATATCATTTCCGATCCTGCGCGGCACACGCGAGTCGTATTTAATAACGCAAACATCCATCTCCTTATTAATTCCAGTCAATATTTCAAATTAGATGTACAGAAATAGCGTATCGAATTATTTGCAATTTTATTTCAATATAAAGATATTTCACGGAGATATTTTATCAAATGAACGACAGGGGCGATAAAGGTGATATTTATATGGCGGAATTGTTTATTGCGAGCGCAATATTCTACAATTCGGTTTTATTGAAAATAAATAGACATGACTACGAATACTATCGATTCTTTACTAATGACTTTTTATTACGACATGACACGGCTGCAATGCTAAACATACAATTGTGCGTAATAAAATAAAATAAAAAATGCCACGCAAATTGTACAATAGTTACATTTGTACATTTCATATCAGAGAGATTATACACGAAAGCATACAACGGAATATTAATGAGTGTGGATAAACGTGCATTTACAAATAAATTAACGATAAATTAACGATTATCAACCGAGTTCACAGCCTTCAATGCTGCTAAATTTATATAAAAGAACCGCCATTTGTTAGTTAAAAAGAATATTGAAATTACTTAATGCGTTCTCACTAAAAATAAATGGATATTCGTCTAAGATATACACATTATAGAAAGAAACACAGAAAAAGGGCCCAAAAGTGCTACATTACTTATAATTTCATAAAGTTACATCTCTTACGTTAATATTGTGATGAACATGGATTACATGACTATGTTGTATATTGACAATTTTTCTACAAAGGGTTGAGATCTCGTCAAGATGTTCCCTCTCGAAATCCCAAATTTCTACCGGCCTATCTCACATCGCCACAGATTTAACGGTCGCTTGCGGATTGATTGATTGATTGATTGATTATTCAATGGTCTGCCCGGTCCTTCACATGATCTCCCCGTACCGACAAGCCGGGGAAGTCACTTACAGGAGGTACACCTGGTAACTTATCAGCATCTCCTCTAACATGTCAGTAACGCGGAAGTTGAAGTTGGAGGACAGTAACAACGTCCTTCCTTCTCCCTCAGGAGGGGGACTCCTTCAGGCGCTCCTTTAGCAGGGCTTTAAACGGATGCGGCGTAATGCTCTCGGAAGCGTCCAACAGCTTGTCCGCGAGCCTCTGATATTCCTCCGCTCGCCTCTTCATCTCGGCCCGGTGGAGCCGTCGTTCCTCCTCCAATTCGCGGCGTCTCGTCTCTTCGACGCATCTCCGCTGCTCCTTGAGCTCCAGTCCGTAACGAAGCGCCTTTTGTCTGTTCTCTTTCTGCTCCGTCGCGGCCAAGTCGGCGTCCATCTCAATCTGCCTCTCGAGCGCCTCCCGCTCCTCCATCTTCAGCCGTTGTTCCCGCATCTCTGCCTCCTGCCGCGTCTTCAGCTGCTCCTCCCGACCGCGAAGGACTTCCTGCGCGCCGCGCCGGCGAGCTGCCGTGAATTTCTTGAGCGCGAGTTGACGCTTTGCCTCGATAGCCTCGTGCGACTGCCGAACGATGACTTCCACCTCGAGATTCCGTTTGGCCTCCTCCTGCCGCAAGTTTTCCAAATACTTTAGATAGGAGTCTAACTCCGCGCGAAGGGCCACGGTGTCCTGTTTCGCGCGAGCTCTCTCCCTGGCCAGCTCCTCTTCGGCCAGCATCCCGAATGCGCGATCCGCCATAGCTTCCTCACGGGCACGTTCGGCGATGAACTTGTTCGCCGTTAGGATCTGCTCCTCGAGTTCCCCCTTCAACTTTTCCCGCTTTTGCCTTCCCGTCTCGAGATCCCTTAACTCCGCTCGACGCATATCCTCGCATAACCGCTCCAGATGCTCCTGCTCGTCCCTCTCGGCCCGCTTCTTCTCGTCTTCCAGCGCCAACTTGTCCGCCACTTGCCTGGCTAAAGTGGACACCGTTTCTCGCTCGGCTAAGGTTCGTCTTTCCGACTCCTCCGTCTCCTTGTGTCTCTGCGCCTCGGTATCCCTCAGCATTAGCTCGTGCCAGACGACGTCCAGTTTTTTCTCTGCCAATCGCCTCGCCTCGTTGTTCGCCATCTGCGCCACGTTACACTGCTTCGCGTCAATCGCGGATCTCCTCGACAATTCTTGCTTGATATCCGGGCACGAGGCTAAATGTCGTTGCATTTCTTTGGCGGCTACCATCGCCTCGTGCTCCTCCTCGTACTGTTTCCTCAGTTCCTCTGTTCTCGCAAGCTTCTCCTCGAAGCGAGCATACTCATCCCGCCGCGCTACCTCCACGATCTCCCTCGTTAGATTCGCCTCCTCGCTCGATACGAGATCGCGTAGTTTCTCCCTACGCGCCTGTAGATTCTCCTCGTACGCCGACATGTCTGGAGATTAGTCGTGTTAACGGCTGGTAATTATCCCTGTTCAGCGGCTCTCATTATGCAAGAGAAAATGGCGGCTAAATGCCGTATCCAAGCAAACGTATACATTTATGCTTGACGATTAAAATTGAAAATTAAATAAAAAGTGACTAAAGGTTGAGAAAGAGAGAGAGAGGGGGGGGAGGAAGGGGAGGGGGCTATTTAATTTAATTTCAATTTCAATTCTTTAAAAATGTGACCTTAATTAATTCGAGCTACTCATATATTAATCAATTGTGCCAAATGTATTAACGTCCAACGCTACTCTATCATGTCGCCTTTGCACAAGAGAAACGACACGAGTAAAAAAATATGAGTTTTTGTTTTCACAGTTTATCATTTCTACTTTAAAACGCGTGTATTTTTATCCAGAAAAGCGTCGTAATCGCAGTTGTAAAATTTTTCGTCCAGGAAAGAACCAATACGGGGATTGCATTTCGTTTAAAAATAGTGACGGTAAAGAGAAGGAACGTTAAAAGGGAAGATACGATTTTCACATTATGGAGAAAGATCTATCAAAGCGAGAAGAAGAAAAGGATAAAAACAATTTAGCGCACCAATGTGGCTGCGGCTGTGATCTGCAAGCAGATTAAAAGTTTGAAATTCTTCTTCTGTGAAATTGTTATTTTTGACTTGTGTCACTGTTCTCGCGCGAAGACGATGTAAGAAATTGGCAAATTATATACATATATATAAAACATTTGTCGATAATAAATGCGACAAGAGTGTCCGTGGACCTTTTAAAAGAAACATTTTATCTTCTTCATCTATCTTTTACTTCCGCTTAAGTTTTCTTAAGATGTGCAAGTGTAATAAAAAAAAAGAACCACATCACGCCCGCGTTAATACCTCGTTGGACTCGTTGGCGAAGATTCTTGTTCCTGATTTTCCGATCGGTTTCTTTCTCGAAGTCCAGAGTTTTAAGTAACTGGTCGTATTCCCTCTTCTCCTCCTCGTCGCCTTCGAAGATAGATCTACCCGAACCATGGTGCTTTGCAACGCGGCAACTTTTGCGTTCGCGCAACTTGTGCCCGTAAGATATATTTGCCGTGCCGGGAACGTCAATGGGGTACTTTCTCGCCTTCGGTAAATCGCATTGTACTTGCGGTAAAGGGACCAGACTCATCTTTCGAGTTAATCATTTAAAAAAATTATCGAAATGAACGAAAGGTAGAAAAACCGCCAGCGAGGTCGACGAACGTTCTTCATGGACGATGTCACACGTGCGAGAGATATCTGACATTGCGTGTTTCGAGTTTGCCTGGCTCGCCACTCGCCGGCTTGTTTGCAGTTATGGTTGCTATGACGATACGTATTTATCGAGCTAACATTTTTGGAGTGAAATGGAAAATAAAGAAATAAGCGAGTGAAATAGAAGATTCATTCTATTCCATCGTTCTAGATATTTTCGTTGTCACACAAAAATACTTACGCCCATATATCTTCGGTGTTATCGTGAATTAATATATCTAGATTTATTAGAGACAGAGAGAGAGAGAGAGAGAGAGAGAGAGGGGGGGGGAAGGGGAGGCAGAGAGCTACGGCTTTACGTGGATTACCCCGATAGCTTTAGAATTTTGGTGGATGCATTTCAAAGTTACTTGCATCAGTGGAAATCTGTACAGCTCGAAATAATGCGCCTGCGGCGATGCATGCAATGTAATATCCGTACTGGAGTGATCGAATATTCAATATTCCCAAATTAGGTAGGAAATCTAATATGATCGGTGAGATTATATGGTTGCTACATAAATAGCAGGCACGGTTATTAGGTATGACTGATTAAATCAAGATTGCAAATGCAACGGCAGCGCAAATTGCTCTTTATTATTGATTTTTTATCGCTCTGTCACCGGAAAATTTCTTCACGCTTTCGGGCAATTAACATAAATCGAGATGAAGCGAGTTTTATCAACGCGTTATAGATACACGAATAAACGCTGCCCTATGTTCTAACGACGCTGCATTAATGTGCATTGATCTCGTGCCGCGGTGCAAATTTATATTCAATAAAAATTCCATATAAATATAAAGAATTCAGACACAAAAAATTAACTCCCATTAGATATTAACGTTATGTGTATATACGTATATTACAATTATTTTCATCTTAATATATATAAATCCTCCGTTACATACATGCGCTAAATCTTATAATTAGATCTGTAACACAGTTTTATAATTGTACTTCTAGACATCTGTAATTACGTCTTTTTCTGTAGTCAAATAAAGGGTTTCGACAATAAAATAAAAATACGTATGCACTTTATTTTGCGCAGGAATGCAATACATTACATTCGATATAATACTTTAAAATGTAATTTATCATAAATTTATAACTGTGATATCGTACTTTATAATAATTACATTTGATTATAACCTAAAAGTCACTCGTTATGGAGATAAAAATAATTCAAGCGTATAAAATTAAATGCAACGAATATCTGGCGAAATTTCAATAGCTATCATATATCGACTATCAATTTTCATAAACTTAAATTTTGGAAATTATCATATACGTACATACATATGTATACATAGTATATATGTATATGTACATGATAAAATAATATTACATAAAAAACCGCACACGTGTGTACGTGAATTCGTTCTCTACTACATCAAACATGATATGAATATAATTAGATTTTTATTATATTCAGTTCGTTCTACCATCGAAGTAATACTGTGCCACAAAATAATTCGTCTTCATAGCATTTTGCAATACATTTCATATTGATAAACAATTTATACACAATTTTGAGAGTATCGCTTCGTTTATTTTGTATTTATTCCATTTCAATATATACTTATATTAATAGTAATACTTATTAATTATAGAAGAGTACAAAGTTACAAGGAAACATGCAACGAACCACGTGAATCGACACAAATCATGCTGGATAAAGTCAATAATGGAAGCATAATTACATTTAAAAAATTGGGAAACCGTAATGAGGAGCATTACTTATTATATAAGAAGAACATATACGAATATGAATAATGATAATGACGATAAATGAAATATTTGAGCTGTATACTTGCATATACGTATACATACACGTATACATGTAACATATATTCGACGAATATAATATGTTATGCAAAATTGAGCGTATAAAAATCATCGAATGCCGTTTCGAGCTAATTTTTTCAATCGAACTTAATCGCAACGAGTTGAGTGATGCTTCGAAAATTGATCACATGTCAATTGCGGAAATAATGGCAAACTAACGGGTCGTCAAGTTGTCGCATGACTCGCAATTATCGCAGGGAATTTGTATCTCTTTCCGGTAGAGCCTCGAGGAAGAGCTTCCTCGTGCAAGGTCAACCACGGACTTCCTTCGCTCGCAGAGTCGATGTGGAAACATTAAGGCGTCGAACTGCTGCCGGTATTAGCTGGCGTGATCCCAGTCGATGGCGGAACGGAAGCTGCCATTGTTGGTGGCGCGTAAGGACTTCCACAGAGTTGATCGGCTATACGTCCACCCTCACGGAGGCCGCTGAGGAACGCGCCGTGCACGGTGGCTGGATAATTCCGTATAGTGTGCTCCCCTGAAAACCCGTCATGTAAGTAGGTCAGCGTGCACTCTCGTGAAAAAAGGAAGTTTATTACAACGTGACATTCGTCTTGGACGAATTTATTGTATTTCGCCATTGAAATCTCGCGCTTGTTTACCGGCAAATTCTTGCGATGTTTATTACATTTCGTTAAATTCCCGCGAGCGCTAATTCATCCCTGTTTACATGGCCAACATTTCGCGAATAGTAGGGTCTTTAAACAGCGTTAACACACGGAATTACTGCGCACACAAGTCGGGGGGGGGGGGGGGAGGGACGGAGTATCGTAGCGAGGCAAATTGCATCGCGCATCAATCGCGACGTTCCGCAAACGCGAACGGCGCTTACGTATATTTACGGGGGGACGCAAACTCGCAGCGCGACGGCAAACGCAAATATAATTCTCCCCGTCAGAGGAGAGCTTAAAAAGGTGGCCGTTTAAGTTTCTCGCGTCCCGGTAATACGCGCGACGTCGTGAAAAGTATCAATGTAATATTTACCTGCGAAGAACACCCTCGGCTGCAGCGGGGGTTGATTGAGCAGGTGCGGCGGTGACACGGGTGCCGCCAGGAGATCGTAATCGCTGCCGGAACTGCCGACCGAGACGAAGCTGTAGGAGCCCCGCGCCCAGGGATCCGCCCGCCACCTCGTCACGACGCTTTCGCGCGGCTGTGGCACCACCTGGTTCCCGAAAATACCCTGCGAGAGCGAGAACAAGAACTTTTCTCAACCCCTTCTATCATATTTCTCCGCCGTCAAGTGCAAAGAGAATTGCAAAAAATAATAATTGGTGCGAGACGCGACGCTACGCTCAAGTTAAGTGGGGCCGCTATTTGGCGTGTCCCTCGTCCTCCCTGCGCGCTAGAAATTTTTATCCACTTACCTTCAGTACGGCGATGCAACGGCCGACGATAACATCGTCACTGACATTTTCCATTACGCAAGCCGCTTCACCGGCGACGAGGGCCAGCAGGACCGGCGCCTTGTATAAGTTCCAGAACAGGAAGAGCTCGCCGCGCGACGCGGTGGTACTTCCCACGTGGCCGAACAAATTGGCCGTTGGATCCCAGAAAATGCGCTCGAAGCACAGCACTACCTGTGAGATTAGAGGGGACATTATGGGATTGAATTTATATCGAAATACGAACTCTTCCCCGGAATTCTGACGCCGCGTGACATTTCTGCGTGAAAACGAGCCGCGGATAGAAAACTGACTGCGAAAACCATTTCGTGAACGTAGCATTCGAGCTTGGAGAGCACGAAAAGCTCGGAAAAATGTCTAAAGCCTTGTGTCCACGATCCAAGAACTGCGTCCAAGTTCTAGTTCCGAGAAATCTTTTACGCAAAAGCTGCAGGTTGATTGGCTACACATTTCTCGGGACTAGAACTTGGACACAGTTCTTGGATCGTAGACACAAGGCTTTAGACATTTTTTTCGGCTTTTCGTGCTCTCCAAGCTTCTCCGTAAAAGATGCAGGTTGACTGGCTTCACATTTCTCGGAAATAGAACTTGGACGCAGTTCTTGGATCGTGGATACAAGGCTTAACGCGTCCTACAATTTTTTCTAATATGACAACTAAGTTTAAGCGTTAATAATAATTTCTTTATGGTTTGTCTACTGGCAAAAGGACTGGCAAAAGGACTGTTTAACTTAAAGTTATAAAGTTATAAGGTTATAACTTATTATAATGTCTCCTAATTTTGATGCTTCTATTAAATGATACAATTTGATCGAACAATCGATTTTAATATTATATTTTTTAAATAGCAATTTAATCACCTGCGCGCTAACTGTACGCAGTTAATAAACTTTTAGTTATTCGGTTTTTATTTTACACGCAAGTCTTTTTCTTTCCAATGCCACGTAATTAATCGACTTATCATGAGGATCTGTGCAATTTCTAAAAATTTGTCATGGTAATATAATCCCACGAATTTCGTAAAGTTTCGCCCCGTCTCGTCCGTCTTCGGGCGCGTAACTGATATCCCCTTACTTTGTCGGTGACATAAACATTTCCGATGAACCCTTCAATGTGGTCCACGTTCGTTAAAAGAACACACATTAATTGCCATCGAAATCTGCCACTGCGCGATCAGCGATAAGTCTTAATGCGCGATTATGCAGTCCCTAATACCCTTACACTAATGCTCGACAGGACCATCCATCGTTCTTCTCGCGGGCAGCATAAATTAGACCGCTTTACGGACGACAGCGACTTGTCGAAAACACACCATACACACACACACACATACACAGAAACGCACACGTCGGCGCTCACCTTATTTAAATTGCCAAAGCCGAGCCGTTGAATGGCCTGAGCCTTCCAGTCCGGAAGCGGCGGATTGAAGTTGACTCCGGAAGGTGGTGCGGAAGTCTTGAGGACACCAAGGGGTAGTGTAACCAGGACGGCGTCCGCCTTATAAACGGTGTGATTTGTGTGCTGACTGCGGGAGGGTGAGGCCCATACTTCTACGCCATTTGGCATATATCGCACCATCCTGGTAGCTGTGTTCAATCGAATATCAAGTCCTTCCGAGAGAGCAACAGGTACGCAAGAATAACCGTTGCGAACTGCAAGGTAAAAGGGGTAAAAAACGGATCAGTATTCCGATTTATTGTAATATCGCGCCGCGGTGAGAAAGACAGAGAGAGACAGAGAGAGAGAGAGAGAGAGAGA